TAAAAATAAGATACAGGTTTGGCAAAAGGGTTAAAAAAACAAAAGGTCCAGATGTCCTACCTCAATTTGGAAGCAATGATGACGTTGGCCATTATTGTCTACTCCCTACTCACCTCCCCCACCCCTACCCATGTGTTCCACATTCCTTCTTTGGGCCTTAGCTTATGCTTTTTCTGCCTAAGAGTGCTCATTAACCCAAACCTTTGTCTCTCCAAGGCCCAGTTTGGTTGGAACTCCTTCCCTAAAATCCTCCCTTATTTCTTTCTCTGGTAAACTGCTTTCTGTGTGCAACTCTTAGGTCAAGTACAGCTTTCTGCCTTGTGTTTTCTGTTTTATTCATATGCAATCTCTCTGACTACACAAAAAACTCATGAAAAAAACCCTCATTTTTTATAATTCAGCACCTAGTACAGTATCTTGCAGATACTAATAAATATTTGTTGAGTGAATAATTCAACTGCCCTTTTCAATATGGATAATGACAAAGGGGACAATGTATGAGTTATTCCCTGGCCTGGTTCTCTGTCTGCCTCATAGGCCACAGTGCCTGAGGTAAGGGCCGTGCTCTGAGTGGTGCTTAATTGTATTTGAACTGCAACTTCATATTAATTCACTTATTAAACTTGTCTGAATCTATATTTCCATTCTCACCACAGTCATCAAATGCTTACTTTATTATTTTGATCCTCAATCTTAATTATTTTATTGCCTTTATCCAAGCAATAATAAACATTTATCAAATACTTATTAAATGCCACATACTGTGTTTTATATGTGTGTGTATGTGTGTGTTTCTGTGTGTGTGTATTCTCATTTAATCCTTACCATAACCTTATGAGTAGGTACTATTATTAATTCCTTTCACAAATGAGAAAACTGAGACTTATGATGTTAAATAATTTCCTTAAGAAATATTACTGCATATCTGGTGAGTGTAGGAGTAGGATGAATAATCCAGCCAGTCTGTCTTCAAAACCCACTCTCCTAATTTGTAGAAAACTGCTTCCTCAAAGGATTTGCCTTCACTCATTTTTTTTTATATGACATCAACTCTGGTTTAATATATCAGTCAATGTACATTTAAGCATTTGGCATGGTGCTGAGGGTAGGAAAATACCATAGATCCATAAAACCATTCCTTTAAGGGACCTGAACTTTAGTTGACAACAGAAAAAAATATACAAATATTTAAAAATTAGTGGGAAATAGCATCTATAATAAATGCTAAATTGGGCAGTACAGACAAATCATAAATTCATAGATTGTTAGAGTCAAAGGAAGTGACTTTTGAGGTAACGAGGCCATTGTGCTTATTTTACAGATGAGCAGCTTGACAGCATATAGTGAGGTGCTAATTGTGTGTTACAGAAAAAATAACAACCAAAGCTGCTTAAAGAGATTGAGGGTGGGTGGGTACATCACATGGAATTAAAGAAAAGATAGATCGGTGTTGATAGTTGTCATCAAAGAATGATTTACAAAGGAAGTGGGACTTGATTTCAAACTCAAAGGATAGGTAAATTACATTTGGGGAGGTTGTAGGGGTGTGTGCATGTGTGTATAATGAGTACACATACCCAGGGCATCATTTGAATAAAGGCATGAAGTGGCTGGTGTATAAAATTTATTGTCTGCTTGTTGTATCTACGGTGCTGATTTGACTGATGGTGGTGGGTAGGTGTTTTAAAAGATATAGGTAACTGAGCCAAACCCAGATTAATTGAATTAGAATCTTTAGAGGTTGGCCGGGGGCATCAGTATTTTTTCTAAAGTTCTCCACATGGTTGTAATGTGAAGACAGGATTGAGAACTATGGAAAAGTATGGGCATAGTGTCTTCTCAGGATGTTACCACTTAGTAGAGAGCTACAGCATCTAATAGTAAAAAGTGTGGTTAAGAGCCTGTGGTCAGTGTTGTATAAGCAGAAAATGACATAATGAAATGGAAGGGTTTGAGATGAGATGAGGTGAGATGAGATAGATGGATAAGAAAGGGTAGTTGGAAAGACAATTTAGAAAGCAATTATAGTAATTATGGATTAGAAGATTGAAGCCTAGCCTAGGGAGGTTTTTCTGGATATAGAAAGGAAGGTTGTAATCTGAGAATTTTCACAAAGTCTTGCTCAGTGACAAAATCTAAAAGATGAGAAAAGAAGAAGAGTCTAGGTAGTTAAGTGGCAAATCCATGACAAATGAAAGGCTTATTAAATTTTTTAGAGTGATGTTTGAGTATGAAAGCATAATATTTACTGAAAAGCTAACTTTTCACTTTCAACAAGTCAACATTTAAACTAATGATTTTTTGGTGATTTTGAAATTTGATATTGCCTTATGGTAAGAGTTATTTTCTGTTGATGTGTTTGCTTGGACATCAAATGATTTTTCCTAAATTTATGCTTCGATAAATTTACGTCTCTTTTCCAATCCTCTTCTCACCACTAGTGAAGTGAAATATAGTTGCATAATAGTTCCACTTACAGAAATTCATAACATGCATTTCAGAGACCATATTAATTAGTGTTAGATTTGACTGCAATACCACAGACAACCTACTTAACTGTGGCTAAATCATTAGATGAGAAGTCTGGTGGGAGACAGTTGCCGGCATTAGTTCCGAAGCTCCAGGACATCAGCTTGAAGTCTCTGAGATTCTCTGGCTTTCCTCTCATGGCCCAAGGACAACTACTGGGCCCCTAGTCATCATGTGTATTCCAAGAATTGAGAAGGAGATAGTGTGGTAGGGCATAAAGAGTTTTCTTGGAAGTTCCACATTTTGTATTTATATATCATTGGCCATGCCTGTTTGCAAATGAGAATGGGTAATTCACTGTTTCAACCAGGCACAATGCTTAGGGTTCTGTTAGTGAAAAAGTCACAGAGACCAACCATAATTCTGTACTCCTCTCTCTCCTTCCTCCCTTTGTTCCTTTGTCCCTCTCTTTCCCTTTCTCCCATTCCTATTTGTTTTATACTTTATTAAAAAACATGCATTAAGCACCTACTATGTGTCAGGCATCTTTCACAGTGAACAAGACAAACATGGTTTCTACTCTCATTGAACTTTGAGTCTGGCAGAGGAGTGAGACATGAGGGAAACAATAGCACCCACATTTGCTTTTTAAACTCATTTATAGGGTGGGGCAAAAGTAGGCTTATAGTTGTTCATATGGAAAATAATACAATAATTAATGAATAATAATACAAGAATAAACACTGTGTTCCATGTATTCACAACTGTAAATCTATTTTGCCCCACCCTGGACTTACTTAATAACTTAATTATCACAAATAAAGGTGAGACTTATTTATAGAATTTGTTGACAAACTGTTTTCCTCAGAAAGTTTCTTTTTCTTAGTTTCTTTGGGCCAACCATTCCATTCCCACATAACAATAGTGATCTACTACATTATTTTACTTTATATTATTTACAGATGGGAGCAAGACTAGATTAAAAGAACCCTTGTTATTTAAAACACATTTATTAGTCAAAAGAAAAAGTAAAATGATTAAAGTAAAAATAAAAAAATTAATTTTTTTATTAAACAGCAGTGCTCACAAATAGGAAAGCCAAAAGCTCATGGGATATAAGAACAATTAATATTCTCATGACCATGATTGTTTGATTATTTGAAGTCTTAGGTTATGTTTTATATGCCTAAAAGTGTCCACATCTTGGGGGGTGGGAGCGGCCAAGGAGAGGTCAATGGAGGGGAAAGGAGACTTATGTAATACTTTAAACAATAATGAATTTAAATTAAAAAAAAGTGTCCACATCTCCTAAAACATGTTAGGTGAACAAATATGTGAACAATGCTTATTTGCACCTTTCATTTTAGTGTAGGTCTTATACATTTTACTATTTCAGGCTCTCTTTTACCTTATTTTATAGTTCCAAGAGATTTGTGATCAAATCTTAAATATTTTGTAATAGGTACGTAACTCTGCAGAAGCTAATTGAGCATCTGTGAACATTATTTAAACTATACAAATTATACCAGAAAAGCGTACAAACTCTTTTGGAATTACTGTTACAATGGAATCCAAATTTGGAAAAAATAAATAAAGGAATAAAAACAAGCAAAATCAGAATCTTACTTTTATATAAGACATTCAATTTTCTGTATTCATAAACTCCCATACACACACACACACACACACACACACACACACACATTGATTGGTACTATAATACATAATTGTTATATCTTGGAACTCACAAATAAGAAATATTGCCTTTGTTCTTTACATTGAGATCCCAAGTAAAATATTGTTTTAAAAAATTAATGGTTTAAGTTTGGTTCCCAAACTGTGTATCAAAACACCTCAGTGGGCTGCTGCAAATGCACAGGGCTTCATAGAATATTTTAAATTTTTTTCACCAACGGTTCTGTGAACTGAAGAAATATGGGAACCTCTGTTTTTTAAGTTAAGACATGGAAAATTCAAACATTTTCTGGACCTACGGGCTGGCAGAGTAACTTTAGCAAAATGTAATCAGGTGTTGAAGGCTATGATGTAGAGCAAATTTGAAAAGTAATAGATGTAGCTGGATTTCTCCATGTCTAAGCTTTCACAGCTGTGTAATTTTTATATGCAGTATAATTTTTATGATTGCCCTTAAACATGTAGAGATGAGTGAAATCCACTTCTCAGATAAAGTACAAAATATACCCGTAATTTTACAGTGTTAGTGTTATATGACATTGTTTTATAGAACCATCTTCTTAGGAAGAAAATTGGAATAATGATTCTAGGTAAAATTTTTGGGAAATTTGTTGATGGTTTTGATTTTTTTAATTCCTGTAATTATCTTTAAAGAAACCTTAATACACAAACCATTAACTATGTCATTGCTATGACTTCTGATGCAGTTAATGTTTCCATTGGGGGGCGGCATCCTATCTAATAAAGATGGGATATGCAAATTAATTGTCACTCCAGACAAAGATGGTGGTGCCCACAGCCAATAAAGAGGGAATATGCAAATTGATGTGACAAAGATGGCGGCGGCTGGGCGCAGGCGCTTGCGTCGTCGCCATGGTCATGATACAGGCATTCTGCCCCGCCCAGGCCGATCCAGGCCTATGGGCAGCACGTGCATGCAGGTGCGGAGCGGCAGGGCTGGGCAGGATGCCTGCCATGAGGGGGGTGTGGGGGTGGAGGGAGCTACAGGAGGGCAGTGGCTGGAGTGAAGGCCCGGGTCCTGGGTGCTGGAGGGAAGCCGGTGCCGACAGCCAGGGGAAGGAAGGCCTATTCTTACACAAATCTTTGTGCATCAGGCCTCTAGTTTTAAATAAATATGATGTATTTGAATCATATGAGAACTAGAAGTTTGAAAATATAATTCAATTTTAATAAATTTAGTAAATAATTGATGTGAAATCTTTTCCCAATAAAATGTTAATTTATCAAGCTATTGGTGCCTGACATATAAAGTAAATTGAGCTGTCTTCTTAGCTTTAATATGACATCAGCTTTGAATGACTATTATGCATTTCTGGCTGCAAAAGTCTTTATATTATATTATAAGGATTGATACAACCCAAGCAAATCACACCAAATTGTACCTTCTTCCTTAGGTACAATTACCAAAATATCTAATTTTAAGTGCTAGAATTTAAAGAAAACTGAATGCTTATTTATTTTTCTTTCAATGCAAATAGAATGACAGTTTTTCTTTATTCAAAAAAACAAGGTATATTCAAAAATATTTTTTTCTCTATAAAACCACTCAGTTTCTTTACATACTAAAAAATCAACTAATCCCAACTCAACTTTCATCTATTTATTATATGTACTAAAACATGAGGTTAACGGATTTGTTTTTTAGAAAACACATACTAGTATTTTCTGTTAAAATGAGTTGTTAATAGTTGAGTACCAACTGCTCCATTTAGATTAATTTATGCTTTCCAATGTATTTGAGCACTTTTTTCTGATGGGATATAATGTCTAATGGAGTTTTCTGGACGGATCAGCCCACTGATACTCCATTATGAAGCTAAATAAAAGTAGTGATTTAAAAAAAAAACCACACACACACCACCACCATCACCACCACTACTGGTACTAAAGATGTTTGCCAACATAGAATTTGTTCACTCACACAGTGCATTAGGGCAAAGTCCTTTGAAGTCAGAGGCCGTTGATTGTACATGACTTCTTGAAAAAAAAAAGGCTGCTTTTTAGTCAAAGAAGCAATCCAGTGTGGTGTATTGATTTGGCAACATCACAGCTGCTTCTAATAAGTGGGATGGAAGGGCCGTTTCTATGGGGCTGGAATTACTTTTCGATTGCCGGGGCCACAGTGTTGGTACTCTTATTTTGCTGTGCCACCTTTTCTGATCAATACCGCATCACCCAGCAGATAGTAATTAGGTTTCAGAGAGCCATTCAACAAAGATCCGTGTTGACTGCGATAGACAGAGCCAAGGAAAAGGTCACAGAGAATCAGCAGCCAACTAAAAGGTGATGGGTAAAGAAAGGACCCCTTGCCTGAGAAGTACTTAGCTCTTTTTTAATTACTGTAATTTTCAACAAAAGTCAGAGAGTGAGATGATGAAGTGAAGCACTTTCCTCCCTGCTGTTCCTGATGAGGCTTGATAGACCTCGAAATTACGCATTGACTCCCCGTTTGATTTCTCCCAGTGTTTAGTGCTAATAACCTGTAGGGCCTCTTTTTTTTTTCTTTGTACCTCTCAGTCCTAGTGTCACTGCAGTAATTACACTGTGTGAAATCTGTACTGCAATCACAGCTGCCAACTTCCAGCTTCGCAGGCTGGGTCAGGCTGAGTATGGAAAAAAAAAAAAAAAAAAAAGCAAAAAGCTAATAGCTAAGAAAGGGAAGGATTTTTTTTTTATTCCTGTAATGAATTTTAATAGAATCTCATCTCATCATTTCTAATCTGTGTACAAACATAAGGAATTCCTAGAAACAGTAAGGGTCAATGGCAGCTGTGCTCTTTACTCATAACCAAACTTTCACAGAAATAAAAATGCAGCCAGGACTGGAAATAAATGTAGTTACATTTTAGCATTGCCGATCCTATGTTTATTCGGGAGTGTAAGGAAATGGATGCAGGACTGATATTGTTCTAAACAATGTTGAATTCTATAATAAAAAATATTTAAAAAGACTTTGCAGTGATATTTGTTACTGTTCAACGAATGCCCTTCACTTACCCTTCTGTCATTCTGAGATGGGAATAACCCTGGGTGTTCAAGTAGCACCTGCTGGTAGAATCAGGTACTGACGTTTGACATTTTCTCAGACATTGCTCTTGAGTTTAGAACTCAGGTTCAGAAACAACAGCAATAGCAGCCGGAACAGTCCTCTAGAAAATCAGGGGTGCCCCTTTAAAAGCTGTTATTTTTGTAAGGCAAAGGGGACAAATTCTCAATTATAATTCAGGTTATTCTTCTAGCATTATTAACACATCTGTGACGCTCCTTAGAAGTATTATACAGTGTCAATTGCTAAAGCATGCCACATTTATGTAGTATAAATGTTTAGATTTAAGTGCTAAGATAAAAGCTTGTTAGAAGCACATTGTAACAAATCAATTAATATCATAAATTGGGGAGCTCTGAGTATGAATTATCAATCTCATATGTAATGGATATCAAAGTCAAAACAAATATTAAAGATATGTTAAATTTGTGTCTTGTGTTGATTAGAATGTTTCAACATAGCCAAAAATATATTTAAGTACATATACTTAAAAATATGTGATCAGTCTTAGGAACTTTATTCATGAGACCTTATATGTTTATTTATTTAATTAGCAAAGGTAAGTGTTACATAATGGTTAAGTGCTTATAATCACATATTGAAAGGTTTTGCATCATAAAAACTATGCAAATTGTATGGAAACTAAGGTGACAGTAAAAGTAATTGCTTAAGCCTTGCTGCATTAAAGTCATCAGAAATTAATAAATTAATGAAAATAAAATGTTATTATTATGACTGTCCACTAAAGAATTGCTTGAGGTGATTGCCACGGCACATGGTAGAAATGAGCTAAATGTGTATCACATCAAATGATAGGAAACACGGGATACCAACTTTTTACATAGGATCATGCCACCTACGTAGCTAATCCATTGATCTTTCTGGTGGAAGGGGTATCATGAATACTTTGTATTTTAGAACCAAGATAAATTTCCCCTCCCCCACAATTCATCCCTCAAATTGCCTGATACTTCCTATTAAAAGTGAAGAGGAAATTCCTTCCTGACCTTGCAAATGATCATCTTCTTTCTTGAAGCATGAGATTTGATTGCCCTTGCAATCCAGGCTCACACTTACTGCCTGCATTGTGAATAACCGTTCCTTTCTCAGTCATGGTGTTTGACTCTATGACCTCCCACAGAAATGAATTCCAAGCACAGACGGTGCATTGAGAAATGGAGATGGGAGTTCTTTGATACTAGATGGTAGACATATTGAGCTAGGAGCATCCTGCTCTGAATTCTCTATAAATGCAAATCTGGCTGGATCAGGGAGAAGATATCCAAAGAGTTTCAGAAAGTGTTTACCCTGTGAAATTGTACTTAAAAATCCCAGGGTGAACCCTTCAGTTGGTTAGAATGTTGTCCCCAAACACCAAGGTTGTGAGTTCAATCCCTAGTCAGGGCACATACCAGAATTAACCAATGAATGCATAAATGAGTGGAAAGACAAATGGGTGCTTTTTATTCTCTCTCTCTCTCTCTCTCTCTCTCTCTCTCTCCTTTCCTCTCTTTCTCTAAAAATCAATTTAAAAAATCCCAGAGTGGAAACCAGTGTAGCTTTTTGTCCCTATGTGGATTAGAGATGATGAAGAATATTTTGGCAGTAAGTTTGGCTGGAGGAAAGCAACCATTTGGTAATTACTAATTCAGACTTGTTTTTAGAATATGTGATGTTTGGGATTGCACCAGGGCAAAAGCTGACCTTTGCTTTATTAATTCTTTGATAATAAAAATATTTGCATGGTGCTTTGTAGTTTATGATGTGATTTTTCCAGGTTAAAAATCTCATTTGATTTTTAAAAATATATATATTTTATTGATTTTTTTACAGAGAGGAAGGGAGAGGGATAGAGAGTTAGTAACATCGATGAGAGAGAAACATCGATCAGCTGCCTCCTAAACACCCTCTACTGGGGATGTGCCCGCAACCAAGGTACATGCCCTTGACCAGAATCGAACCTGGGACCCTTCAGTCCGCAGCCAATGCTCTATCCACTGAGCCAAACCGGTTAGGGCTCATTTGATTTTCTTAATAGCCATTGAAGTAGGTAAATATGTTACTGGCATAAATCCCCAGTAATTGTGCAAATGATACTGGGAAGGAATACATAAAATACTCAGGAAAGCAACTGCTTTGGAGTAATCTCAGACACTTTGGAAGGGCGCATTTACATAGAAACAAAGTGATCACTGCAAGCCAATTTACCAACTATTTTTATGCATCCAAAGTTGTCTTACCATAGTTTAAACGAATTGACACTGTTTATCTTGTTTCAGTTTGTGTGCATATTTGAATAGGAAAATAATACTTTACAACATTCATGATTAAATTTTTCAGTATTTCATGTTCTTGTCTAATTTGTGTGAATTGAAAGGCTCTACTGCACTCTTTCAAGAGAGATTTTAAAAAATAAATATGAGTATTTTTCTTATTAAAAATACATTATGGTTAATTTTTTATTATGGTAAAACATCATAGCCTAAAATTTCCCTTTTAACCATTATTAAGTGTATAGTTCTGAGGCATTAAGTACATTCACATTGCTGTGCCACCATTACCACTGTCCATCAGGACTTCTCATCTTCCCACACTGAAACTCTGTACCCATTAAGTACTAACACCTCACTCCCCTCTCCCCCAGCTTCTGGCAACCACCACCTCTATGAATCTGATTACTCTGGGTACTTCATATATGTGTAATCAAAATATTTGTCCTTCTGTGCATGTCTTATTTCACTTAGCATGTTTTCAAGGTTCATCCATTTTGTAGCATTTGTCAGTATTTCCTTCCTTTAAGGCTGAATAATATTCCACTATATCTAGATACCACATGTTGTTTATCCATTCTTTTGTTGATGGACATTTGGGTTG